CACTGCCGACTCAAAATATTTATCCTCACGCGAAAGAAAAATAGTGCGAAATGATAGATCAAAGCAAAAGACTTATAAATGACCTCAAATCACAACTGCAATATGATACTCACTTAATATGATAAATATAAAGATAATCCTTATACATAATGCTATATATTTGTTGTTATGGTTAAAAGCGGAAGGATATTTATGAAATTATTTCCCAGCAATTTGTCGCTATGCCGGTGAATTGTGGGAAATCTGCAACATGGCGGACGTCCCCGGTTCCGGGTCAATGACCTCTAGCAATTGCTCAACTTTATGGAACCCATCGGAGTATTTTACAATTTTCTCCTGGCTTGATTCAATCAATCAATCAATCGATGATTTCTTTCTTTAAGTAATGCTGAAGACGTCAGTCTTATCCAGTGGATACATTATTTCTGCATCTTTATGTACAGCCATGGGTTTGAGAATGAACTTTTACTTTCAAAGTGGATGCCTTGCACTTTCAAAGAGAAAATTGCATTCTATGCGTAAAGTTACGAGACCAAAAAAAAATCTCCTTGGCGCAAAATGGGCAACTTCGGAAGAGCAAAATAAAGGAAACAAATTTCTTTGGTTAAAGGTCACAAAAAACAACAACAAAGAATAGATCATTTTATTTTTATCTTTTACCAATACGCCAGCCAGGCAATACGTGTGCGAACTTGCATCCAACAGTTTGTCGTCTTGAACGCTTCAAGAGAACTTTCCTGGGCTGAATAAACGATCGTGAACTTGTTTTCAATTAAAAAGTCAACAAGAATTAAAAAGAAAATGCTTAGAAATAAACACTCAGCTGCTTTCTTCATTCACCGGTCTGGCTTAGCCAATCAATCAATCAATCATGCAATCAATAAATCAATCAAGTTTCAAGTTTTATTAATAAAATCAGCCTTGCAGCCAGTTAACAAGTCAACCTAGCTGAATAACAATGATTTTTACAATTTTGTACATCAATCAATCAATCAATCAATCAATAGCCGGGAATCTAAAGTGTGTTTAGCTAATCTTTTTAATAGGTAACTTAAACCTGGGTATAAACGTTCTCTGTCGCGGTCTAACGACTTAGATTCTTCTCAACACATTTCCCGCCAGTCCTCTGTCCAATCTATACACAGAGATAATGGACTGTGACGTATAAGACTAGGCCAAAAGCCTGTTAACGTTACTAAACGCCAGCACTATGGTGATGCGTTCAGTCCTCGTGACTTAAATGTCAGGGGAGAAAAGCGCATAAAAATCCCAGACTTTGACGTTGCTGCTTCGTGTCTGGAATGCAAACGTCGAAGGGCGGCTTTACGGGTTGCGTCTGTGAAGTCCTTGTCGTCTGTCATCATCATGTGCGCTAACATGTGTCCTGTGGTACCAGCTATCACCGCAAGGAGCGTAACTGTACTGATACAGCCACCAGCAACTGACTAGTAGTAGTACACAATGTAGTACTAGTACTTTGGCGATCACGTTCAATCTTGAATGTCATTCCTTTGAAGAATTTTCTGTGAAGAATTTCTTTCCTTTGATCTTTCGATGTTGTCCTTTCTTGGTCTTTCCAAGGTCTTATTAGCAATAGTGCCCATAATTATGTGAAGCAGACGGAAGCCCGAAACCAGCGGCAGCATTACAAAAATGTACATGTACTTTATCATTTCTTTGTTTTTCGTATGGTATACGATGCATTTCCATACCATGCAATAAAAAATAGAATCATTTGTATGAGAAAACCGATAGAAAACTTGCACTTTATCTTATTTTAGTCATAATTCCACCACATCATAGTACTGTATTCGGAACGGATTAGTCGGCCTGCAAGTTTTTATGGTAATCTTTTGAATCTTTCACAATAATGATAATCTTTTAAAAGACTGGCTAGAGTTTTCGCTTTTGTTTTTTTAACCAGTCAAGTTGACGAAATACCATGGCTGAATGCATAGATCACGTTACCTTATTGTGCGCGCGTAATAGAAGATCGTGGACTAACGTTATATCTAATCAACATATGATTACTATGAATGTAGATGAATTACTCTGTAACGTTTCAAATAAACAATAGGTCTATCAAGCCATGAAAAACGGCAAAATTGTTATCCGCAACTTTTCGGATGACAGGTTTGAGGACTCGTTCTTGTTCCCAGAGTAGCCTCAGCTGGCTTGATCACGTGACCACACAGGCGTTCGCCATCTTTGTTTCTTTGCGGAGGCATCGGTGGCGATCTCTTTGTTTTCTAATCCCATTTCTCAGAAAATCAAGAGGACTTCGCTACACTTGTGCATCACACAGGTGCGCAACATATCACAAATTGTTCAGATCGTACTTGTATCACCTATGGAGTTCGCGAAAGTCTAGAATTCTGGGTCGTCTTGTTGGCGAAACCAGGGAGAACTTGGCACAGTCGAAGCACCTGGGCTTGCTTGTGTGCGTCATTTCCCCTTTCAATCTGTATTTTTCTAAAACGCGGAAATTTTTCGTCAACACACGTGGTGTATCAACACGTGGTGTGCTGCTGCGTGTGTGTTAGAAACCAGAAATGAAACCTTAGATTCTGAGACATGCTGGAATATGCCCATCGTGTACTGGATCTTTGAGACCCATGTGTGTTGGGGAGGGGGGCGCATAAAAAATTGTTATCGATGAAAGCATGGAGGTAAAAGAGAAATTCCTTTTTTCTACCTCCATGATGAAAGATACAAATTTTAGGAAGTGATTGAAACTGGAAAAGAAATGTTCAATTCCACAGGAAATTCCACAGGCTCATTGTTACTACAATGATTTACCCCCCGCCCTTCATTATTAATTTTCATGTTTAATTTCAAATGAATGTTAAATTATGAATATTCAAGTTTATTGTCTTGTTGGCAATTCCTTGATGTAACGTTATAACTATAACTTTCAGGTAATAACACAGCGGACAGCTGGACTCCAGTGAATGTTGTAGTGGTGAACTGTGTAGGACACTGCTATCCTGTGCAGAAAGCTGCTGTCCAGTGTATAACACCGCTATCCTGGGTAGAACACAGCTGTCCTGTGTACAACACGGTGTTGAACACCGCTGTCCTGTGTAGACTGCCACTGTACTGTGGACACTGCCGCTGTCCTGTGCAGAACGCTGCTGTCCTGTGAAGAAGGCGCTGTCCTACACCAGCATAACACTGCTGTCCTGTATAGATCACAGCTGTCCCGCATACAACGCAGCTGTCCTGTGAAGAATACTGCTGTCCTGTGTAGAACGCTGCTGTCCTTTGTAGAACGCTGCTGTCCTGTGTAGAACACCATGTCTGACTTCCTGGAAAGCGAGGCTGAGGAGTCTATGGGGGAGGAGTCTGGGGATGATGAGGAGGTCACCACCAAGAAGAGCCAGGCGGTGATGGGGAGTGGTGATGAGGAGGAGGAGGATGAAGGTAAAGACCTCCCATCTCCTTGTAGTTTTCTTCAGTTAAGGAGTAGTCTCTTCTCCTCCAGTGAGTTAGCTCTCTGTAGTTTCCTCAGGTGTTGTTACTGCAAAAATTGTAGCAGTACAAAAATTATAATGCATGAGAATCATTCAAAACATTCGCACGGTTTTATCTTTTTAGTGGCCTCACCACTGCAAATTCAAGATGCTATATATATGATTATGACCCGGAATTCAAAATGCAACAAAAGCCTCCTTTTCCCGACTACTGTGAAATGAAACCACAGAATGGAACTCAGGTCATAAGCTGCCTCTCTCTTGATAATTAAATATGGATGCTTTTTAACTAACGCTACATGACAGTGCCTTGTTGAGATAGGTCATTTGTTGTGAAATAACATGTAAGATAACCAGCCACCATTACATGCACGACTCTGAAGTACGTACTACTTGTAAATGCAGGAAAATGTGCAAAGTCAGTATGAGTGTATGACTATGATTATGAGTGTGACAATCGCGTGTTTGACCCTATAATA